CCAGGAACCAAGGGAACTCCAGGAACCAAGGGAACCCCAGGAACCAAGGGAACTCCAGGAACTAAGGGAACTCCAGGAACTAAGGGAACGCCAGGAACCAAGGGAACTCCAGGAACCAAGGGAACTCCAGGAACCAAAGGAATACCAGGTCAAGACGGAACACCTGGTACATCCCCAACACCAGGAACTAAGGGAACTCCAGGAACCAAGGGAACACCTGGAACCAAGGGAACTCCAGGAACCAAAGGAACCCCAGGAACTAAGGGAACGCCAGGAACAAAAGGAACTCCGGGGACGAAAGGAATACCAGGTCAAGACGGAACACCAGGTCAAGACGGAACACCTGGTACATCCCCAACACCAGGAACCAAGGGAACTCCAGGAACCAAGGGAACACCTGGAACCAAGGGAACTCCAGGAACCAAGGGAACTCCAGGAACGAAAGGAACTCCAGGAACCAAGGGAACTCCAGGAACTAAAGGAACTCCAGGAACCAAGGGAACACCAGGAACAAAAGGAACTCCGGGGACGAAAGGAATACCAGGTCAAGAAGGAACACCTGGATCAACCCCAACACCAGGAACTAAGGGAACTCCAGGAACCAAGGGAACACCTGGAACCAAGGGAACTCCAGGAACCAAGGGATCTCCAGGAACCGAGGTATCTCCAGGAACGAAAGGAACTCCAGGAACCAAAGGAACCCCAGGAACAAAGGGAACACCAGGAACAAAAGGAACTCCGGGGACGAAAGGAATACCAGGTCAAGACGGAACACCTGGATCCTCCCCAACACCAGGAACTAAAGGAACTCCTGGAAGCAAGGGAACTCCAGGAACAAAAGGAACTCCAGGAACCAAGGGAACGCCAGGAACCAAGGGAACTCCAGGAACTAAAGGAACTCCAGGAACCAAAGGAACCCCAGGAACTAAGGGAACGCCAGGAACAAAAGGAACACCAGGGACGAAAGGAACTCCAGGAACTAAAGGAACCCCAGGAACTAAGGGAACGCCAGGAACCAAGGGAACTCCAGGAACCAAGGGAACGCCAGGAACAAAAGGAACACCGGGGTCGAAAGGAATACCAGGTCAACACGGAACACCAGGACAAGACGGAACGCCAGGTCAAGACGGAACACCTGGTACATCCCCAACACCAGGAATCAAGGGAACACCTGGAACTAAAGGAACTCCAGGAACCAAAGGAACTCCCGGAACCAAGGGAACTCCAGGAACCAAGGGAACCCCAGGAACAAAGGGAACTCCAGGAACAAAAGGAACTCCAGGAACCAAAGGAACCCCAGGAACTAAGGGAACTCCAGGAACCAAAGGAACCCCAGGAACTAAGGGAATTCCAGGAACCAAGGGAACTCCAGGAACCAAGGGAACTCCAGGAACCAAGGGAACTCCAGGAACCAAAGGAACTCCAGGAACCAAAGGAACTCCAGGAACCAAAGGAACTCCGGGGACGAAAGGAATACCAGGTCAAGACGGAACACCAGGACAAGACGGAACACCAGGTCAAGACGGAACACCTGGTACATCCCCAACACCAGGAACCAAGGGAACTCCAGGAACCAAGGGAACTCCAGGAACTCCAGGAACTAAGGGAACTCCAGGAACTAAGGGAACTCCAGGAACCAAGGGAACTCCAGGAACTCCAGGAACCAAGGGAACACCAGGAACCAAAGGAACTCCAGGAACCAAAGGAACTCCCGGAATAAAAGGAACACCAGGCCAAGGCGGATTCCCGGGCCAAGACGGAACACCAGGTCAAGACGGGACCCCGGGTCAAGATGGAACACCAGGTCAAGAGGGATCCCCGGGTCTAGATGGATCTCCAGGTCAGGATGGAACTCCGGGAACAAAAGGAACTCCCGGAACCAAAGGATCCCCAGGAACAAAAGGAACACCAGGAACCAATGGAACTCCAGGAACGAAAGGAACACCAGGAACCAAGGGAACTCCAGGAACTAAGGGAACTCCAGGAACCAAGGGAACTCCGGGGACGAAAGGAATACCAGGTCAAGACGGAACACCAGGACAAGAAGGAACACCAGGTCAAGACGGAACACCTGGTACATCCCCAACACCAGGAACCAAGGGAACTCCAGGAACGAAAGGAACTCCCGGAACTAAGGGAACTCCAGGAACCAAAGGAACCCCAGGAACTAAGGGGACTCCAGGAACCAAGGGAACTCCAGGAACCAAGGGAACTCCAGGAACCAAAGGAACTCCGGGGACGAAAGGAATACCAGGTCAAGACGGAATACCAGGACAAGACGGAACACCAGGTCAAGACGGAACACCTGGTACATACCCAACACCAGGAACCAAGGGAACTCCAGGAACCAAGGGAACTCCAGGAACGAAAGGAACTCCTGGAACCAAGGGAACTCCTGGAACTAAGGGAACTCCAGGAACCAAAGGAACCCCAGGAACTAAGGGAACTCCAGGAACCAAGGGAACACCAGGAACCAAAGGAACTCCAGGAACCAAAGGAACTCCCGGAATAAAAGGAACACCAGGCCAAGGCGGATTCCCGGGCCAAGACGGAACACCAGGTCAAGACGGGACCCCGGGTCAAGATGGAACACCAGGTCAAGAGGGATCCCCGGGTCAAGATGGAACACCAGGTCAAGAGGGATCACCGGGTCTAGATGGATCTCCGGGTCAGGATGGAGCTCCGGGAACGAAAGGAACTCCCGGAACCAAAGGATCCCCAGGAACAAAAGGAACACCAGGAACCAATGGAACTCCAGGAACGAAAGGAACACCAGGACAAGGTGGATATCCAGGTCAAGACGGGTCTCCGGGTCAAGATGGAACACCAGGTCAAGACGGGTCTCCGGGTCAAGACGGGACACCAGGTCAAGACGGGACACCAGGTCAAGACGGAACACCTGGTACATCCCCAACACCAGGAACCAAGGGAACTCCAGGAACGAAAGGAACTCCCGGAACCAAGGGAACTCCAGGAACGAAAGGAACACCAGGACAAGGTGGATATCCAGGTCAAGACGGGTCTCCGGGTCAAGATGGAACACCAGGTAAAGACGGGTCTCCGGGTCAAGACGGGACACCTGGTCAAGACGGGACACCTGGTCAAGACGGGACACCTGGTCAAGACGGGTCTCCCGGTCAAGACGGAACACCAGGAACGAAGGGCTCTCCAGGAACTAAGGGAACTCCAGGAACCAAGGGAACTCCAGGAACCAAGGGAACTCCAGGAACCAAAGGAACTCCAGGAACGAAAGGAACACCAGGCCAAGGCGGATACCCGGGTCAAGACGGAACACCAGGTCAAGATGGAACTCCAGGCCAAGACGGAACACCAGGTCAAGACGGAACACCAGGTCAAGACGGGTCTCCGGGTCAAGACGGAACCCCTGGTCGAGACGGGTCCCCTGGTCAAGACGGAACACCGGGTCAAGACGGAATACCAGGGCAAGACGGGTCTCCGGATCAAGATGGAACACCGGGGACGAAGGGAACTCCAGGAACGAAAGGAACTCCAGGAACCAAGGGAACTCCAGGAACAAAAGGAACTCCAGGAAGCAAAGGAACTCCAGGAACGAAAGGAACACCAGGCCAAGGCGGATTCCCGGGTCAAGACGGAACACCAGGCCAAGATGGAACACCAGGTCAAAATGGAACACCAGGTCAAGACGGAACACCAGGTCAAGACGGAACTCCAGGTCAAGACGGAACACCAGGTCAAGACGGAACACCGGGGACAAAGGGAACTCCAGGAACGAAGGGAACTCCAGGAACGAAAGGAACTCCAGGAACCAAAGGAACACCAGGAACCAAGGGAACTCCAGGAACAAAGGGAACTCCAGGAACCAAAGGAACACCAGGCAGAGGCGGATATCCGGGTCTAGACGGAACACCAGGTCAAGACGGAACTCCAGGTCAAGACGGAACACCAGGTCAAGACGGAACTCCAGGTCAAGACGGAACTCCAGGTCAAGACG